CCTCTGCCTGGCCTGTCCCCAGCCCCGGCCCTCATGTGATCTGGTGGATGTTGAGGCCCAACCAGGCCTGGTCTGTACCCCATCCTGGCTCTCACACATGCCAGTGGGTTCTGCAGACTGGCCCAGCTCAGCCTTTCCCTTGACCTGCCCACACATACATTGATGGGCACTGCACCCCCAATCCCACTCTCATGCTCACCAGTGCCAGCTGCAGCATAGTTCCCCAAGTTCTCACTCCCAATCAAGAATCTTGGATGCCTGCTGGTAGATGCTCAACCCAGCCTGACAAAGCTTTCCACGGTCCTGTCACTCACTGGTGGATACTGGGACCCTGCCTGACCAGCCTACACCAGCTTTTGCTGGTAGATTGAGCAGTCTAGCCCTGCCTGGCCTACCCCAGTACCTGTTCTCATGTGGACCGGTGGTTGCATTGGCCTATCCTAGCCTGTCCTGCACTTTCTCTGGCCCTTGTTTCTTATTCCTATTTTTGTCCCTTTCTTTGTTTCTTGTACATCTTTTATGAAATGGTTTCTTCTTACAAACGAAAGTCATTTTCCTTGTTGAGAAATACAATTTAGGTTGATTCAAATGTTTTCTTTGTTTGCTGCTTCTCATTTTCTTTGTTTGAGTGTTAGTTCTTTCTGTTGATTCACTTCCCAAATGCTGTAGGCTCAAGCCGAAGCAAAGATCCTGGAACTCCATCTGAGTTTCCAGTCTGAGTTACAGGAACTTAGGGGATTAAGCCATCACCTTCTGCCATTTGGGATGCCCAGTAGCAACACGCTGGATTGGAAACGGAGATGCCAGTATTTGAACCAGCACTTGAACTCCAGTATGGGGTGTCACATCCCAAACAGCATCCTAACTACTATGCCAACCACCTGCTCTGAGATTTATGTCTGAATAGATAATATCAACAAAAATCTGAATCGACTAAGCCTTTTTATGACCAGAAACAACCCAAGCATGATCGTCTCAGGAGGATTTCTGTGAAGCAAGGGGGCTTTGTCTTCATTTCTTTCCTCGACCGTTTCTTCTAATCCTTTATGCCACGCTGACATTTTATACATCAGATACCAGGAAAGATAGGAAGGGCACATAAAAACATTCATGGAAATATCATCAAAAGAGTAAGTTCTTTTGGATGCCAATAAAATAAAATGACTTCTTCCATGATGCTCATTTCCTGTGAATTTCTTAATGTCCCCTCCAGAAACATTTTAGGTTAGAAATATTCCAGAATCAGCATAGAAGAATCTTAGAGGAAAAATTTGAATTATATGGGTTCTGGGAGTGCTTGCCCCTGCACGCCGTGGGGGAAGATCAGTGTTAAGAACCACCCACGTGGGTATTCTCTGTCCCCCAAGAGGCTCAGGCTCATCTGGGATTTGAAACAAATCCTTGCTAGACTTGTGGCTGGATGGGGGGGGGGGTTTCCTCTCAGTTCTTTGGCCTAAAGCTACCTTCATGTTTTGGGGGACAGTTCCCTCTACCCCCACTGTCTATATTCTGGTGTCAGACAACCATATGGTAGAAAGTAACCAAGCACCTACCAGCAGATAAATAAGCTAACCCAAACCAAACCAAAGCTAAAAACAACAATAAAACACCCAAATGCTTAAAAGCATGTGACATTGATTGTAGAGGGGAAAAAAAGGTCCAGAATGATTTCCTACCAGAATAAAGCTGTTTATAGGAGACACAACAATATCAACACTTCACAGGAGTGCTTTAAGGAAATTCTAATAAAGCAACAAAAATTTGAAGGACCAACACTATTTTTGCCAGACTTAAAAAAAATAATTCCAGAAGAAAGGTCCTTTTTTGGTAATTAGCGACATGGCTAGATTAAGTGAATGGGACATTTTCACCCAGAAGTGCATCCTAACTTACAGAAATCAAAAAGAAAAATAAAGGAGGTTTAAAAAAATATTTGTGTAAAAGACTGAAAGTGAGTAAATCACGTTCCGGGGGAGGAGCCAGATGAAGGGAAGCGGTAGTTGCATGTACAGAGTCCATTAAGTATGTCTAAGCTGAAGAAAGACTGCAGATTGAAAAGGCTCACCAGGTTCTGTGCAGAAAAACGTAGCACTCATATACACCTAGGAACCACCTGATAAAAATCCTCGAAGCAGAAATAATCTTGCATACTTTGAAAGAGAAGTAATGGAGCCGGCAAGTGTGGGAGTGTTGTCCCCGAAGGACTGAGCCACCAGGGTCGAGCCAGGTCGTCCTCAGGATAGTCACAGCAAAGCGCCTGACCCGTCAGAAGGCTTCCCTGCTCCAGGGACAGCCCCTCCCCTCGTCTCGCTCATTGTCCTGTTCCAAATTTCCAGTTAGGTAGTTTCTATTTCTACGTCCACCATCTCTCCTTTCTACTAACATGCTTAAACTTCAGAGGACTTGTTTCTGCCACCCTTAGCCTTTGGGACAGTAAATATTAATTGCTTCATTTTGCATTTTTAGTTGTAAGTGCTAAATATATTTTGCACGGTGATTTCTAAATAGGTAACATGTTTTCTCCAAAAATTCAGATGGAAAAAGTGCGATGTTTTAAAATTCTATTTCATAGCTCATTTTTAGCAGACTCCTGACTTAACTGCTGGATTCATAAGGGAAGATATTTTACAAAGCCTTTAGAAATTGTGTTTAGTATTTCATCCTTGTAGAAGAAATGTGAAAAACACATCCCTGATAGCGTTGCCGTTGAAGAACAGCTCCTTTGTACTTCTCATGAAGGCAAAACACAAAAGGATGAACTCCAAAGTGTGACTGCTGTGTTGCTTCCTTAGTGTGTGCGTGTGTGTCCGCGTGTGCGCATGCATGTGTACATGTGTGTGCGCGCACGTGTGTCCGCGTGTGCGCATGTGTGCGCGCGCATGCATGCATGTCTGCGTGTGCGCATGTATGTGTACATGTGTATGCATACATGCGCGTGTGCGTGCGTGCGTGTTTGTGTGTCCGCGTGTGCATCTGCTTAAGCGAGTGACAACTTTCGTGATAGACTCAGTCCTTTGGCTCTGGTTGAAGTGACTCACGGTCGCCCATGCATCAGCGCAGCGGCAGGCTGAGAGTCAAGGGCGTGCTCCTGGAGCTGCCATCTCACTCGTGAGCCTGGGTGACTTTCTCTCACACTAGGTTCCTGTAGTGAGGCAGGACAGGATCCGCAGAGTTCAAATGCCTGGTCCTGAATACGAGGTTCCGTAACAGGGCGGCGAGGTGAGCACTCCGACTCGCAGCACTCTTTTTTTCTTTCTCCGGAGAATGAGCCTCCCAATGCTAAAGGCTGCATCGTATCTTTATTCCTAGATACAACAGGTGAACGCAAAGGGAGTCAAAAGGAAGGCATCTGCAGAAACTAAGATGGAAGCCGACAAGGTAGCTCATTCCGAGGAAGGCTGCCCAGGGTTACTGGAAGGACAGGCCCTCAGCGTTTTGTCCCTCTCTGCCTGAGACGTAAACACGGCAAGGGAGCGAACATCAAAACCAAGAAAGCAGCTCACAAACAGGAGGAGCACGGCCCACATCCAAAAGGCCTGAGCTCCAGTATGTAATTCCAGTAACTGTGGCCTCAGGCCAGTCCTTGACATTCTGAGGCTGCATGTCACATCTGTATAACCGGAATGAGATACTTCCCTAGCTCTTGTGATGCTTAAACAGGAACGTGAAAATCTGCTATAACAGGGCCTGGCGTGTAAGGGACACTCAATCCAGGCTTGATACCTGTCATTATAATTTTGTGAAAAGAGAAGGGAGATTGCAAATGTTGTTTGTACTTTGGCAGGTGCTGCGCAGGGTGGGGAGCCGCATGCTTCTGCAGTCCTGCTGGCTGATAACAGCTGAGCCTTAGGACGCGATAGTGAATTTCCCCTGTTCAGATTTCGTGCTTGCAAAGCAACAGATGCGTATGATACTGCAAGAGTCTGAATTAATCTTTTGGGGTTCCAACTAATCTCGATTACACAGGAGCCTGATACTAACCGCTGATTTAGGGAAGAGGTGCAGTGCTGCGCATGTGTGATGACGGAGGAATCGTCTGACCTCTGCTGCAGGAAACTCGACGTGGCTGGGATCATAAAGCACGAGACAGCGCTCAGCCAAGTCACGTGGTGTGGTTGGGCCAATAAGGGAGCTCCACAGGTTCCATGTTTCCTCTAAGGTCTCCTGGTGTCATGATTTAAATCTGTAAATCAGCAAGCCTCATTTTGAAATCCAGGACACATACCTCTTAATGTTGACTGTAAGCTCTGTATTAATACATTTTAAATATCAATTTTTAAATCATAGTACTATGACCTCCCCCCGCCTCCCCTGCCCCGCCAGCTTGGCACCCAACCCATCCTCTTGAAGGCCTTTTTTCAAGAGTTCAGCATATCACTTTTAATTGGTCCTATTTAAAAACTTGTCTTCCTTAGCCTGAGAAGTCTCAGCAGTAGCTGTGGAAAAGACTTAGCAATTCTAACACTTTTAATAAAGACAGCAGCAAAAGGAATCTGATAGCTGTGTATTTATCGCTGTTTGCAGGAACAGACCAGAACACTCATTTTCGGTGTCATTTGTACTTTTTGGAGTCAGTTTTCCATTGTGATGACAGCATCTCTGCGTGTGGGTGCTTATAAAGAAAGGAAGTTGGTTGAGTTTTATATCCTGGAACTGCGAGGTTGAGTAGGCCTGTTGGTTCAGTCTCTGGAGAGGATCTAACTGCCAGGGCATGGCTGGTGGGCAGGAGTGGAAAGGAGACCAACGAGGAGATGACACCAGAGTGTGGGACAACTCTCAAAAGGAGCAACGCAGACCCCGCCATGAATACATTAATCCCTTCTGAGGACAGTGCCCCAAATGACTGAAGGTTTCCTGTTAGATGCTGTCTTCAATGTCACACCACCATCTCTTCCCGTGGACTCCTTGGGACCATCCTGACCCCCAGGGGAGACCGGTCACATCAACACATCCCATGTAGTTAGCATTGTCACTAACACTTGTTTTCTCTGGATTTTCAGAGCTCAGTGATGTGGACCGGGAGACAGCCCTGGCTGGTGCGCAGGGCTTTACCGGCTGCCTCTCAGCTGTGCAGCTCGGCCACGTGGCTCCTCTAAAGGCTGCTCTGCGCCCCACATATCTCGCCCCTGTCACGCTTACAGGACCTGTGACCGAGTCCAGTTGTGTGGCCCAGGCTGGCACTGATGCCACATCCCGGGAAAGGACACACTCATTTGCAGGTGAATATTTTTTTCTAAATATTTATCTTATGTATTTGAAAGACAGTTGAGGAACGAGAGGTGTACCATCCACTGCATTCTCCAAATGACTGGGCCGGGCCCTCCTGTGGGAGCAGGGACTCAAGTACTTGGACCATTCTCCACTGCTTTCCCAGGTGCATTAGCAGGGAGCAGAACTGGGGGTGTAGGTACCAGTACTCTGACCCATATGAGATACTAACACCGCGGGTTATGTCTTTACCCACTCTGCCACAGTGCCAGTTCCTGCAGGTGAATTTTGACACTTGCTGTACCCGGTAACAAAGATAACTTATCCAGTGAATGCTGAAAACCTCTGACAGTTTTGCTCTCCTATGTCCTCAAAATACTCTCATAGTGTGGCTATCATTTCTAATTTTCTCTGCACCCTCAGTTTGTTGTTGACATGGGCCATTGAAGTTTATGTTGCTTAAACTGAAAATTACAGATTCCACACTCACCTCCATCATCCAGTTTTGGTTCAAACCATTTATAGTTTCTTTTTCAGATGTCCATTTCCTTTACTTCTCTTACCCTCCTCCCTGCTTTGTGTCTTAACTGCAGATCATTCTGGAGCATTAGATGACAGACAGCCTTTGGCTAATGCGATCAGAAGCGACTCTGCAGTCATTGGAGGTAATAGACACTGTCATGGAGCTCTGCTCTGCATCCCGGTATCACTGCCAATAGTGATGACTTAGCAATGTGGGAATATCCACAGATAATCTGTACCTATTCCAAATGCTAGCCCTGATTGTGGTGTAGAGGGGTGGTTTGCCGTTTGTGCTGATTGTCTTAGAGAATCTTCCTCAAATCTGTGATTTCTTAGAAATTTCAGTATACATAACCAACTGACCTCTGGAATATTACACTCAAGGAAAGGTACCTAAATTGTAATGTTGGGTACCATTTTAGTGTCATTTCTCTTGACTTTGATGTTTCTGTCACTGCTTTCCAAGGGGACTTGTAAAAAGTAGGAAAAACCTGAGCTCAACATTGAAAGCATTTGCCCTGGTATTTCCATAACACTTAACAAAATAAATATTACAGGGTTTAGGCACTCTCATCAGTGGATGCCGTATTTTCAGCTAGATTTTTCAAATCAAATATTACACTAGTGGACTAAAAACAGTTAGTATTGATTTCGAATTGCAGAATTAACACAAAAACATTTTTAAAGATGTATTTATTTAAAGTGCAGAGTGTCAAAGGGACTCATACAGAGTAAGAGATCGTCCATGTGCTGGCTTACTCCTCACCATGCCTCCTCACCATGCCTCCTCACCATGCCTCTCCACCATGCCTCCTCACCATGCCTCCTCACCATGCCTCCTCACCATGGCCACAAACAGCACAGCCGGGCCCTGGAATTCCAGCTACATCTCCCATGTGGCACAAGGGCCCTAGTATTTGAGTCATGTTCCTTTGTTTTCCCAGGTACTTTAACAGGGAGCTGGATGGGAAGCCAGGCTGCCGGCAGTTGAACTGAGACTCTAATATAGCATGCAGAGGTTCACCTACCAGCCCCAACACAGAAACATTGAAAGTCTGGCAGTGTGACATCATATTCTTTGAGATATAATTTATTCAAAGCTGTCTCTAAAAATAAGCCTTTCTCTTGCTAATTAATGCTCTTAAGAATGTTATTAATCAGATTATTGAAATGTTAAGTGGTTCACCTTTTCTCCACATTCTGGATATGAAATGGACAATTTAGAAGTAAATAGTCACTTGATGACATTGCCGGATAACATGATTATCCAGCTACTGAGGCAACATGTATGTCTATGTGATATCCAATTTTATTTTATTTTTGTACCCTAATCATCTAGACACAAACTTTCTTCCTATAGTTGGGATTTTCTTTAGACAGCAAATGAAACTAGTCAAATCTTCCTGAGAATATTAACATCATCATTTCTATTTCATTTCATTTTCTCAAATTAATGATGTGTAAACTAAAGATACACAAAATGGGATCCCTGTCTAATCACCTAATAAGAAAAAATATCCCTAAACAGAAAGCTATGTTTGAAGAATAGTTATTAACTCTATGTCTAAAAGAAATAAATTACACAGTAAAAACTAACTTAAAGCTATAGTATTTACAATGTGCTCAACATTCTAAACTAAGATTCCCTATCAAATTGTCTTAGTCTCATAATAGTTTTGTTCCCCTGCGTACACCAAGTATTCATATAGGTGAACACAGACACACAGATACTACAAATATCATGTCATATTGTGAAGCCAATGCTATTGGCGAAATCGAAAGAGTTAAGAAAGACAGATGTTAATAGGCTATCCTAGGAGCCACGGTAATATTAGGTCAATATCAAGGGATGACTACCTTTTTCAGGTAAGACTAATCTAATCAAACATCGGCTTGGCCATTGGCAGTGTTATGACTGGCTATAGTGAACCTGCCTTAGCAATTCATATATCCAGCAATCTCCTGAGGCTGGCAGGAGCTTTCAGATGACGATGGAGTTGCACACCATCGCAGATGTACCTGCCTGCTTCACACTGTAATGGAGTTAGGAGACTGGATCCACGTTAGTCATGCTGTCAGACACAGGTGGCGTTCCATGCAGCCTGAGTCCGGAGCAGTTCACGGGGCTTACCCTGGGGATGGCCACCGTGTTGCCAAGTGCACCAGGCCTACTTTACGTATCAGAGCATTCGTCCCTTCAACACAGAGTGAAGAGACTGGGAATCAAGGGTTAAGTTTTAATAAAATGAATCACGTCTACTGCTTCATCAGGGACCTTCTTCAGCAATCTGGCTTTTGTTGTTGTTGCTGTTGCCTGGAGGTGCGGGATCTTCTACTTTGTGAATTTAATGATGCCTTCATTTGTTACGAAGTACCGGGATTTTACCTAACATCCTTTTAGACCGGGAATGAAAATGTCAAACCCTGAAAAAATTTTCTTAGCATGATGTGAAAGCAGTTGGGCCTGTAAACCCCTAGAGCCTTAAGGTCCCCTTGGCCTTCACAGATCACGCCTTATACAACACCAGGGTTGACATTCATAGGAACAAGTAAGAATTGTAAGAATGACAATTTTTCTTTATAACCAGAGCTTCAAAAGAAAAAAAATTCCCTCATGTCTGAGTATCTGATTTCTGTTTTATTATTAAGGATTATTTGTATGCGCAGCCTTTTTGTATTATTCCGAAAGATAACCAGTATGTTCATGGGAAATGTGTATGTTGAGAAAAAAAAATCTATGTCTGGACTTAAAATGGATTTTTTTGCCAAAATAAAATGAGCCATTTCCATTTTCCATGGACTCTGGCCAGGACCCTCGTGATGCGCTGTATCAATTCAGGATAGCTATGCGTTCGGAATAAACAGAGGTGAATCTGCAGGGTCGAAGAACTCCAAAGAACATTCAACGTATTACAATTCTACTTGAACCAGAAATCTCTGGCACTTCACACTTGCAGTTCACATTCAATAGAGTGTTGATTTAAGTGAAAAATAAGTTTACTAAGACTTATTAGGCAGTGAAATCAACAGAGCTTACGTTTGGGCAGAAATTCTGACTTTCTGTGTCTTTTCTCTCCCCAGGTCTGATCGCTGTTGTAATCTTTATCTTGCTCTGCATCACTGCCATCGCTATGCGTATTTATCAGCAGAAAAGGTTATACAAAAGAAATGAGGCAAAAAGGTCAGAGAATGTAGATGGTGCTCAGGCTGTTTTGAAAAGTGAGCTCAATATACAAAGCACGGCCAATGAAAACCAGAAAGAGTACTTCTTCTGATGGGCAGCTATCATTTAAATTCTACTTATGATGGTTCATTTTAATAGCCAGGGGCTCTTAATGGACAAAAAAAAAATATTTTTTAACGCTGAATGTAGAGGCAATGGATTTGCAGCACTGCCACTTGGCATGTCCAGGCTTCGGGGGCTCCCTGAGAGCCTCGTCCACTGACATATTTCTCATAGCAATTGTTTTAGGTAACAATAAACAAGATATTGCTGTTCATTTCCACCTGTTCTTGATAGGGTCTAAAACAACTTGCTTAGCGACTGCAGTTTCCGAGTGTGAAAACTGTAGCCCTGGTCCCTTAACAGTGTTAACACATAAGTTTCATTAGAGGTGAAAGTCACAACTGTCCTATGCTGACCTTGCTTTCTTTGGGAACATACTCTGTGTTTGCCTTCGTCTTCCCACGCTGTTACTCACACACCTGGAAATGCTTCGAAGATCCCGTTTGGCTGGTGTTTGCATCTTGGTGGCCAAAAGTCTATGAAGCCCCCTCTGCCTTTCTCTGTATCACATTTAATACATCAGTAGTCTCAAAAATGTTTTCTGTTGTCTTTGGCTTGTCTGTATTGATTGCTCTTTTATTATTTGACTCTTCTTTATGATCTTGCATACATTTGCTTTTGGATGTCAGACTTACACCTGGGAACATACATTTTGCACAAGTCTTGGAAAGTGCAGTACTTATCAGCATGTAATGTCCTACCTTTGGGAAATCGGCTACTTTTGTTCGCCGGTCACAGTGGCTAGGGCCCCGAATAATGCCAGTTTCCCAAAGAAGGTACATGTTTTCAATTAAACTTGTTAACACACTAAAAAGTTCTTAACACAGCGAAATTTGTTTTTAATGACAACTGTAATACCTCAAATGCTGTATACTTTTGAGAAGACTCCCCCCAACCCCCCGCCAATTTTATGTGGTTTTCAGTAGGTTAATGTTTCTGTTTTTCTAAAGCTCGTCACCTGATTTTGACTCATCCGCTGTGACTGTCTTCCCTGGAGTGTAGTCATACATGAAGTGTGGAGCTCCATTCTCTGATCTAAAACATAGATCCCTTCTGGCATGACTCGTGCTGTGCGCTGACCTCCAGCACATTTTTTTTTTTTAATAAGAGCTGCAGCCATGTCCCCTTTCTTGCACAACCAGGAGAGTAATTAAAGGAAGCTAACTCTAGGGAGACGCAGCCTGTTCTATGACCTGGACTGAATCTGTCATTCCGCTTACTTCTCTCAAGGCTGATGGGATTTATTTCTTAAAAATGTACCGAAAATCAATAGGACCCACTAACTGGCATGTTCTGATTAGGCTGTATATATCCACTTGGAGGTCAAGGCGTTGTAGGTAGCCTTATGGAACTATGACCATAATGAATTCTGAGGGCATGTAAATAAGATGCTTGCATGGAACTACCTTGAATCCTGTGAGCCGGTTCTGTTACCAAGGCACTTTGCTGTTCGTACTCACACCTTCAAGTGCCTCCCAAGTGAATACTGGATTCTTTCCTCTGTGTCCACCGGAGAATGTGGAAGTATGTTAATTCTGCATTATTATGCTCTTATTTTCTGTGCTTTCCTTGTTAACTTTCCTTGTAAAAACCTGCCTGTCTCTTCTCCTAGCACTCTGTCCATATTGATGTTGCTGTAAATGCCTGACTAAGTCTTAAGGACCTATTAACATAGCAGTTTATGAAAGAGTGTGTCGGTAAATGGCATACTTTAATTTCGTTTTAATTGGAAGACCTGTGATGGTAAGGGAGGGATTTGACAGGGAATTGCCAGCATTTATTGGAAGCTAAGCTTAAGGCAAATATCATCATGGCTTTGAGCCTTTTGCAGGTGTGTGCTTTATTTAGTAGCAGTGCTAACCTCCTGGGTAGCTGGAATGTAGACAGGTTTATGGATGCTGATGCCTCCCGGCCTGCTGCACTCTGCACCGTGGGAGGCTGTGACATCGTGGTCTCAAAGCTCGCCAATGCATCATATGCCATGACTTTGATTCCCTGATTTGTAATCTGTTCTTTTTCTTAATGAAATGCATTTTTGAAATGAAATGCAGAATATATTTTAAGAGATGTTGTATTAAAGTTTAAAATTAGGAAATGATATTTCTTTTTCCTAATACAGTAAAGATGTGTAGACGTACCCCTGCGTTCCTGGTGTGTGTGTTCGGGGCAGGGGCTGGAGGGTAAAATCTTCTGTGAGTATTACAAACTGTTAAAAAATCCTGAGGTTCTTGTGGGTTTTTTTCTGTTCTTTTAAAATAGAACCCAAACAAGGAAAGAAAAGTAGAAAAATGCTTGTCGATTCTAACAAGTGAGGTCAGGTTACACTCGATTTAAGCCTTGGCCAAGAAACAATGATTTAGCTGTCAGAAATTGTTTGGGGAAATGTTACTATGTGTTTAAACTGGATGGCATCCTTTCCCCTGTTCTCCAGAGAACTTGGCTGCGTACACACACAGTTGTGATATAGAAGATGTTAGAATCCATTTCTCTGATTTAAAACTAAAAAAAAAAAAAAAAAACTCTTCAAATGAACAGAATGAAAAAGAAATTGGAAGATCCATTCCATTGTGAAAGACTAAGCATTTCAGATCTCATTAAGTTTGAATGTCCACCATAAAAATAAAGTGGGGTCAGTGTGGCGTTGAAGGTCTGCCTGTGTGACACGGGGGTCATCACTGAGAAATGATATCTTAATGTTATAGAAGCTGTGACATTCACATGCTCCTTATCCACCCTGGGAAACAACGCCATTAAAAAGAAGTACCCAAGTTTTACTGTCAAAAGCATGATCTGTAATATATTCTTATTTTTAAAAATTAATGAATTTATTTTTATTTTATGTGAAAGGCACAGAGAGAAAGAGGAAGAGTGGGAAGGGGGAAGGGAGAGAGGAGAAAGAAAGAAGTAGTGCCTTCCATGCACTGGTTCATTCCACAAACGCCTGCAATTAGATAGGGCTGAGCCAGCTCAAACCTAGGAGCACACAACTCCATCCAGGCTCCCTGGTGAGGACTCGGGTGGCTGAGCCATCACCTGCCACTCCTCCTGCCCAGCCAGGTGAGCACGGTAAGGAAGGTGGATAGGAAGGCTCAAAGCCAGTGATATGGTGTACGGGTGTCCGAAACAGTGTCCGGACTGCTGTGCCGATTCCCACCCCTAAATAAATAAAACGAAATGTACTGCTACTGCCTCCACTAACAAAAAAACTCACAACAAGAAGCAAATGAAACAGCCCACCAACTGGAATTCAGTCATTTAAAATAAGGTTGTATCATATGACATTGTCTTTCAGGATAAATCAGCCACGGACTTGGAGAGCACTGATGTTTTGTGTGTGAATGGTTCAGTTTTACAGAGGAAAAAAATCCAAGAAGTTAACATGTGAGTTGGTGCTCCCCAGGGGACTCACAGTCATGTAAGTGGTGGTGCTGTGGATAGAACAGCCTTTGTTGTGCACTTGATGTTGGTCACAGTGCTTCTTAGACCTACAATTCTAAAATTCTTTAGGAGTGTAGAAAAGTCTGAAGGATCTTATTATCTTCCTTGTCCATAGTGACCGATGGCTCTAGATTTCATCTGCTGTCCTTTGAAAAATCAACTGTTATTGGATATACTTTGCATTGATAGATTTGGCTTTCCTTAAAAAATGGAGTAAATTTGTGATCCTTGGTTCTAGAAAGACGGTTATACCTGGAACATTTAATACAGACTCTGAGAAATGTACAGGTGAGTTAGTTCTGACTGATTGCATTATTGTTTTTTTTTTCCTTCAGTAGGATGAATTGGACACATCCTGAATCAAAGTACATTCTGTTGATTGACTTTCAGATCCATGTATCAACTCAACATTGCATTCATCAAGTCCTTTCTTGTGTGTTTGTCTCTCCAGTCTGCATGTTAGAGTGCCGTGACAAGGAAGAAAAAGTTCAGATTCCAATGTCTGCATTGGGGTTCTGTGAGCATGAGCATATTCATGTGTGCAAAAATGAATATGAAATGGAGGTATAGGTGATAGAGTGTAGTTTGCATGTAGCATGGTGAGAAAGCCAGCTTTTTGATGCGTCAAAGCTTGTCTGCAGATCTATCCTACAATCCCCCAACACGAATTAGATTCCTTTGGAAGAAAACTTGGAGATAGGAATTACCATGCAAGACATTAACTGGAGGGTGCTGTAGAAACCAGCATCCGTGGGAGAATGGGTGATTGTGGGCTGGGGCTGTGGGAGAAGCAGAATCGTAATGCTGTCACCACAAGTGATGGGTAGACCCTGTGGATGAAATTTCCTGAGTTGGTGCTGGACATTTATATTGACCAGACACTGGATTTTAAATATTGCAAACTTATTTGTTTGAAAGTCAGAGAGAGAGAGACACAGACCAAGAGAGATCTGCACTCTTACGGTTGACTCCCCAAATATCCACAAGCGATGACAGACAGGACTGGGCCAGGCTAAGCAGGACATAGGAACTCCCTTCAGTTCTCAATCATGGGTGACAGAAACCCATCCCATGCGGACTCACTCCCGGGTTTGCATCAGCAGGAGCCTGGGATTTAGAGCAGAGCTTGGACTCAATTGTCTCTGATATGTGGTATGGGCATCCCAAGCAGTGTCTTGACTGCTTTGTGGAAACCCCATCCGTAGGCAATGGAGGGCATCTGGCTGATGAAATGGGCATCAGCTTGGACTTGTGAATCTTTTCCACTTAGATAGTTCCTCCCACCATCTGGGAAAATAGTGTTAAATTAGAGACAAGAGTTTGAGTGGCAAGTCCAGACTCCTCTGCGGTCTCATGCTCACCAAGCTACTCAGACCTACGCATGAGTTCTGGGAACAGCTCCTGCAGGTGCTTCTGAGGAGCCTTCCATAGGAGAGCTAGGCAAGACGATGGAGTAAGCCAGGAACCACTGCAGGTGTTCTCTTGGCTTTTCTACCCACCCTACTCCCTACATCACATTTTCCTAGCACATGACACTGCTGGCAGTTTAAACTCTTCTGTGACCATGTCCTGCGCTTACCATTAAAATCGATCATTGGTGTGTCTGTGTGCCACACATACTCC